CAGCTCGGAAGCACTCACCTTCAAGATGCTGGCCAGCAGCAGTGCGGGCTGGCTTCCTAGCTCAACCTCCGTGCCACGGTCCAGGGCGTCGCGCAGCTCCTGAAGTTCTGTCCTGGCGGCACCTCTGCGGAATATCCCCTCCGTCGATGGCCCTTCCTGCTGCAGGGCAGCCAGCAGCTCCTGCAGGAGAGGCAGGAGGTCAGTTGCTTGGCTGAGGAGCTGCCTTCCAACAGCAGTGGCCAGAGAACTGCCTCAGATACAGCTCCTCCCCCCAAAAGCGGCTGCGAACTGAAGCGTGTTCTGCGGCTGAAGAGCCCAATCCCCCATTCCCGGAGCCCCTGGGGACACCCACCACCTCTCTGGAGCATCCGGAGGGCTGGCAACCCCTGGCCAGGACGGCTTACCTGGATGGGCTGGGGCAGCGTTCCGTCCTCCCCACAGAGGGCTGCCAGGGGCTTCCCAAAGAGTGCCTTGCTGCAGCTGGAGCCCGCCTGCCCTGGCACCTGGGCAGCGGTCGGGGTCCGCCGCTGAGCAAAGGGCCAGGGCAGCCCCCACCACCTCCTCCCGCTGCTCCCTCCTGCTGCAAAGGAAAACAGAGCAACAGCCCGTCAATGGAGACTGCCAGGCCAGCGCTCCTGCAGCCTGCCTTGCCCTGCCCGCAGCATGGTACTTAGCAGTGCGGCAGGACAGGAAGGGAGCCAGCAGCTGGAGCCGCGGATCGAGCTCATCGGCTGCGGCTCGCAGGCTCCTGAGTGCCGGAGCGCCGGCGTGCCACTGGGACAGCCTGGCCCAGCCCTCGCCCTGCCCTCCTCCAAGCTGTGGCCAGCAGCAGAGGCTCCTTGTCCCCACACATTCACGTCCAGCGGCCACTGACGAGCGGGTGTCCTTGCTTCTCCAGGTGACGTTCTCCCTTTGGCTACCCAGCCTGCATGGTGACACTCAAGGGACAAGCGAGCACAGCTCCACCACTTGCAGGAGGTTGCCTTTCTTTCCCAAACCCACCTGTTGAGTGGTGAAGTCGCCCTCCATTTCCAGATGGGGCCGGCAGAGGCCCTTGCTTGGCACCATCCTGCAAGAACCAGGCTGTGCTTAGAGAGCAGCCTCGCAACACCAGGAGTTGCCGGTGAGCAGCCACCTGGTGCCGCCAACTGCAGGCAGATGTGCTTCTTACTTCTGCCTGGCCCTCCAGCAGTCTCTCCACGCTCCTAGCACGGAATGTCCTCCACTGGGCAAGAGAGGAGGAGTGGAAGAAGGTGAGCAGCGATGCTTCTGATCCTTGGTTGGAGGACCAGCGCTCGGGACAGAGCCCAGACCAGAGAGACACTCACGGGATGGCGGCGGCTCAGCTCCTTCTCCAGGAGTTTGAGGGATGGAAGCTGGGTCACTCGGGCTCTGTGTGCTCCTTCTGGTGTCCTGTGAACCGGGAAGGGACATGGAGAGAGCTGGCTGAGCTCCAAGCCGCCTCTTCTCTCTCGTCAGGCAGCTCTGCCTGAGAGGTACCC